TTTATTCTAAATATAATCCAATCCTTTAGGTAACCAATTGTATTTGTATGTTATCATTTAATTATTTTATGAGAATCATTAAAAAATATTTCACAATTTTCAATAATCCAACTCTAGGAAGATAAAGGCTAACAGGGCTTTGTAGATATTTTAATGGTAGAGATTTATTTTACCCCACTTTTGTTTTATATTTCCTCGCCGCTATGCGAAAAACAATACCCCCGTATCAGAAGACATCCCCATAGCGGCCAATGCGCGCATTTCCCAGTTGGTTCCAACTTTGATGTCTGCGTTACACAGCGTGCATAATTGAGCTCCCCAGAGAGAAGGTCTGTTTGATGCGCAGTAATAGATTATAAACAGAATTATATGTTTATTAGCCCGCCACTGAGCAACCGCAGATGTGAGGGGGCATTCTATGATTGATTGTTTGTAGGTTTGTGTTTGTTTAGTTTTGTTTAAACTGCTGACTTAACTATGTTGGCGATTCGGAATGTTAATAAAAGGCGATTTGACAGCATGAAAAATAAAGTATCAATGTTTGGTATCTGTGTTTAATATGAATATAAGCACTACTATTGTGAAAGAAAAAAATATTAATAATTTTGCTAAGAAATCATTATATAGAAATGCATTTTTTGTTCTATGGTCATGTGACCGCAGACGCCTGGGATTGGCGAAGACTATAATGACGTCACACGCTAGTAAACTTCCGGTCAAAGTGACATTACATTGTATCGTTTGACGCCATTTGGTCCAGAGAAACGTTTTCGCGGCAACTTGAATATGAAATTATGTATTTAGTTTTTTTAACTGAAATACACAACAGATTGATGAATATCTATATATATTTTACGGTTTCCACAAACTTTACTAAATAACGTGCGATCTTTTTTTAAAACTTGTGAAATACCAATAGGTATAGATTGGAAGGTATCTTTGCTGAGCAATCAATATTTAAGTTCGCAGTAATGTTTGAGGCAGCAATAGATAACGCGTGACTTTAAAAAGTATTGAATTTAATTGACGGCATTTCTCATGGTTACAAAAGTATAAATGTCTAAATCTAAAGAAAATATAACTAGAAAAAATTCCACGCGGACCAGGCAGCAGACGGGACTCGAACCCGCACCCTTCGCAATCCGGGCGAATGCACTGACCAATTATGCTACCGCGGCCCTCACGGACCGCGTCGAAATTCTTTCTAGCTATTCTTAAGCTGCAAGGCAGCGCCATCTCTTCGCATTATAGGTAAACCCATAATCAAGCAGTTACATGCTTTAAAAAATAATAAAAATTATAACTATAAATGTCTACTTTTGTCATTAGATTCTTGTGAATAAAACTAGATTTAACGGGTTAATGCACGAACTTTATTTATTTATTGACGTTCCGCAGCCTTTTCGGGTCTGAATCGTCAGAATACTGATTTTTTATTTAATTTTGTCGAGCTACCTTCAAAAGACTTATATTGAGCGTTCGGTTATTTCGTTGGAAGATTTTTAAATTTTTTATTGTCTATATGTATGAATTTATTAGTCAATTTATTTAATAGAGTACTTTATTTAAAATTCTTTTTTGTAATTTTGAGTTTATTTATTTGACCCTAACTACGAGATTCTTGTGATTAGACATATACTCAACCTTCGGGATGAGAGTTCCGAAGATTGAGTATCTGTTGCGTTGTGAAAATTCAAAAATATATAGACCTACTTTTGTTGAAGCATTCCAAATTCAAAGTAAGAAATTTACTCGCAATCTGCTGATGCGACTGTACCCGGTGTATCTAGTATTAACATATATTACTTTTACCCGAGCTTTTTATTTAATTCTTAAAAACTGGATTTATTGAATTGAAATGTATGTTCTTTGACTAGCTTCTGATAAGTTAGTGTACGTTTTTACTGTCATGTTTAATGTCTTTTATGTCCTGTGAGGTGTATAAAGGATATTATTATTATTAGTAACTGTCTATTTCACACAGCAATATAACGAAATTTACCATATAATACAAAAATATACGAATCCTTTGTTACAAACTCGCAAAAGCACCATCAACTCACAGAAAAAGCTCACTCCCAAAGTCCAGCTGATAAGTCATGACAAGACAAGACAACAAAATGTAACACACAACGTGATTTCTGTTACGCACGCAACGTCTGTCAGCTAACAAATCTGTGCGGCCAAAGCTGAGATTGACCGGTGAATCTGGTGATGCGGTTGAGCACAGAGCACCCACACTAGAGGCCGTACAAGGACACCCGCTTGTGTCAAGCCTAGTTAGTATTCATACTAATATTGTAAGTGTGAAAGTTTGTCTGACTGTTACTTCTTCACCGTTAAGGTGCTGTCCGACGGCCTGTGTTGTTGCCAAACGTATGAGAACTCTAACGTTTGAGATTAAGCAGTCTCTTTACATGATACGAGGTAAATAGAAGTCTCGTACACTTTGATGTGAGATTTGAACAATTTTGACTGTTTGTATCATATACACAAACCAAAAATATAATCAGAAAGTAAATAAATGTCCAGTCCACAAAGGATCGATTCAGTAAGGATAGCCTTATTATGCCATCACAAAGTGTTCGAGATTTCTATTTATCTCGTATCATGTATAGAGACTGCTAAATCTCAAACCTTAGAGTTCTCATACGTTTGGTAACCCTGCGCGGTGCGGCCCCGCCCGCGACAACCTTTAAACTGCTGAACCGATTCAGTGAAATTGGGTATGTATATTACTCCTGAGAAATAACAACTAGGACAAGTTTTATCCCAAAAATCATTCAAGTGGTGAAAGCGAAAGTTTGTGTGGAAAACCAAGTTTTCCCGTAGACATGGACGCTGACACCCTCTAACATATGCGTGTGACACATACTCAGACATCAACCAACGCCGATACATCGTCTCACCAAATTCATTATGCGACCATGACGTCACATTGACTTGTCCAATCAAAATGCGGCTTACCCTCCCCTGGCGCCGCATCTAGCAAAATGATTAGGATTTAAAAACAAACGAGTGTGCTTGTGACCACACGACTGAAGTGAAACTTCTTGAGCTCCATCTGTATGTATGTATTTATATATATATATATATATGTATATGTGAGTGTGTGTACAATATAAACATGTGTGTACATATACATATTACATTTACTAGCTATAAGAGAAAGAGAGAAAGAAAATGTGCGCGCGCACTGCTTTCTCTTGCTTATATCCCCCATTCAAGTCTAGTTCTCCTCGCCGGAACATACTTTTCGTAACGCGTAACGCTTTCGCCAGCTTACCCCTCAAGTTAAGTGTGCTTAAAGAAGTTTCACTTAAAAAAAACTAGTAATGCGGACTCTGTCGGGATGCTCTATGCGGTCAAGTCACGAACCGTGCTCCTTCACGGATCATGTCCGTAACTTTTACGGGCACACACGCAACTTGATTCGGTAATGAAGAGGAAAATCTTTGTAGATTCTTTTAAGTATCTACTTTGTAGAATCTGCTTCTTCGTTTGATAAATTATCTAACTTTTTTAAAGATAAAAAAAGGCTTATTTTTTGTTATATTCCTGAGATACTGTAATTGAGATTATTGAAATTTAGTAAGCTTTTTTCGTAATATAAAAATGTTGATTTTAACATGGATTTTACACGCGAGGAATTTCAGCGTCCGAATGTCAATGTATGAATAAAATTGTATTTAAATTGCTTGTCAATAGGTGTTTGGTGAGGTGGGGTTGGCTGTAGGAGTTCAGAATACGTAGCCGATAGCTAACTTAGTTATATCATAACACAAGCCTTTCAGTGCTAACTTTTGGGTTAGGCTAATTCGTGCACCTAATGTTTATTATTATTATTCATATATTTATTTACAAAAAACGTGGTACGATAAATAGATGTCACAATAAATATGATGTTCAAACATGATTCGCTTAATTAGCATGCAAATACCAGTTTATAATATTTATTTATGATTCGTATGTAACGTGCTCAGAAACCGGTGTTGTCAGCAAACAACTCTGCTTTTTGCTACATTCGGTACTATTAGAATATTTAACTTTAATCGCACATTATCTGCCATAACTGTATGACACGGCATTCTCAAACTATGTGTTCGAATCAGTATTATGTTAATTTTATATTCCAAATTATGTAATAGAAGGTGACTTCATAAATTATCTTATATTGAAGTAATTTTTTATTAACTTGACGACTCTGTTTATAATAGACTTGCGGCCCGCCCTCGCTTCGCTTCGGTGTAGAGCTGAAGTGTAGACTACAGTTTTTGTTCTCAGGCTTGTATTATACACAATGACATTCATCTATGATTCTTCTTATACCTGCATGCAAAGTCTCAGCCCGATCGATTTAAAATTGACAAAGTTTCATACAAACTTTCATTCCCTATTTTATCCCCTTGGGGGTAGAATTGATCAAAATCCTTTCTTAGCGGGATGTCTACGTCATAACATCTACCTGCATGCCAAATTTCAGCCCGATCCGTCCAGAGGTTTGGGCTGTGCGTTGATAGATCACTATGTCAGTCAGTCGCCTTTGAGTTTTATATATATAGATAATACAGGGAGAAAAACAAAACAGTCCTTGCTAACTTTCTTGCCGGTTTATCTCAGGAGGTCTTCCGCCGTAGATTTGCAAACCGATGGCGTTGCTTCTTGATATTCACAACTGCTTGTAATAGCCTAAACTGAACAAACAGTGTTAAGTTATAATTTTTCTTCTTTAAGCATTTAACTGCTCGATGTTTAAATCTTAAGAAAATATTACTTGAAAAAAATCCACGCGGACCAGGCAGCTACCGAGACTCAAATCCGCACCCTTCGCTATCAGGGCGAATGCACTGACTATTTTACTACCGCGGCTCTGATGACCGTGTCGAATTCTCTCTAGCATCTCTCTTAAGCTGCAAGGCCTGCAGCGCCATTTCTTCTCATTGTAGGTAACCCACAGTGGCAAATGATAAGAATGTTGAATTTTATACGTTTGTCCATAGGAGGCATTCGGCGAAGCGGGTTGGCCATTAGAGTTCCGTGCGGCAGTAGCCCGTCTGCTATCACAACACGCACCCAATGATAAAGAAGCACCAAGGACTAATGCCTTACGTAAGTACAGTACAATTGACGACCTCCGTGGCCGAGTGGTTTGTACGCCGGGTTTCATGGTGTCGCCGACTCGAGAGGTCTCGGGTTCAAATCCCGGTGGGGGCAGATGTTTGTGTGATGAATACGAGCATTTTGTACTCCAGTCATGGATGTTTAATATGTATTTTCTATATAAATATACTTATATATGTACAGTATATGTATTCTATCCGTTACCCTAGTATCCCATAACACAAGTCTTATAGTGCTTACTTTGGGGTTAGGCTAATTGGTGTGAGTGTTGGAAATATTTATTTATTTATTTATTTAATCTCCCTTATCCCATCTTCCCCTTTCCTTCAGAGAACCACGCGCGCCGGCCTACTTTGTGACCGACTCACTGTGGCTACTATTCCAACACGAGCACAGAGATTTAGTGACTCGTTTCTTTGTCGTGCTTTTTTTTAAGTGGTGATAAAGTGCAAACGCGAAGATAGCTGGTACAGCAGTTATAAATTGCCACACCTTGCCCGCCTGCAAAAATGCTTCTTCACGCCTCTCTTAAAGGATCCCAGATTGTAGAATGGAGGGAACACGTGCGCGGGCAAAGAACTCCATTTATGAATGGTACGACAAAGAAATGAGTTACCAAATTTCTTTGTTCGTGTAGGAATTGTCTTCCTACAACCCGGGATTCTTTTGAAGTGGCGTGAAGAAGCACATTGTAAGTACGGCTGGTGTGGCAGGTAAAACTGCGGCACCAGCTATCTTCGCGTCTGGACGTCACCGTCACTTAGCGTCAGATCGGCAGGAGATACTTGTCGGCCTTTTTATAAAAATGAATAATAGTTGTACAATTTCAACAAGAGGAGCTCGATGGTGCAGGTGGCTAGCGCGTTCGGCTGCGATCGTTGAAGTTAAGCAACGTTTGCAATGGTCGGTCATTGGATGGGTGACCAAAAAACTTCTATCTCGAATACCTCCGTGCTTTGGAAGGCATGTTAAGCCGTTGGTCCCGGTTGCATCTGCAGTCGTTAGCGCCCGCCAATCTGCACTGGGCCCGCGTGGTGGGTCATGGCCCAATCTCCCTATTCCATCCATTAGGAAGGCCTGTGCCTCAGCAGTAGGGACATTAATGGGCTGATGATGATGTATAATTATTTTTTTACAAATATTTTTTTATGTAAACCAAACTTCGTAGTGTAATAACGTCATAATAATTGGTTGGTCAATAAAGGCGGGGTCATAATAAACGGATTCTACTGTATACAGATTTACCAGTCTTCTTGGTATGTTTTTGGCCTCTAATCTCTCAGTACCACAATGTCGTAGGTCTCAGTAACCAGCGGCTGGACCAGACCCTCTCGGAGACGATGGTGCTGGACCTCATAGTGCTGGTGGGCTTCGTGGTCGTCAACAACCCTCAGCTGCAGGTGAGAAGATCAAATTTTCATTAATTTGTTAATTGTGATAAATTTTCAGCACGAGCTTTTTCCTCGAAGACAATTATTACCTTTTGTGTGTTTTTAAAGAAGGGAGGGGGGCAATATTTTTTTCCATGCAAACGTTATCGACTGATTCCTTTTTGATATTTACCACTTTACAAATGATTTTCATACATAACATATAATTTTACTCATTCTATGCTCCTATGTCTTCTTTTTGAAGTTATACTTCTTTAGGCGCGTTATGAAAAAATGATCAGAGTGAAATTTTAAGATGCGCGCGCATCACTGTAACACAAAATTTTAACATAATGAAGTTGGTCGCTTTAGCGACCAACTTCATGCGTTACTTTTGTGTTTACCGCACATTAAGAAAATCTACCAACAAAATAGAAATAGAATCTCTATTTTGTGGGTGATAACAACTGCATTGTGAAGGCCTATCAAAAGTATTTATTAATCTGGAACAACGGAACCAAAGCGCGATTCAGGAGACTACAGCGCCATCTCTTGACCATTGGTGTAGTAGAACCAAAAACCACATCTTTATTTTTTGTAATAAAGTAACAAAAAGTATTTATTAATCTGGAACAACGGAACTAAAGCGCGATTCAGGAGACTACAGCGCCATCTCTTGACCATTGGTGTAGTAGAACCAAAAACCACATCTTTATTTTTTGTAATAAAGTAACAGTTATAGGTATTCATATTTATAATATTTATCCACATGTTTCTAGTTTGTATATTCGGAATACGTGTTTGAGTTTCATACAAGTGCAAATCACATATGTTCTAATAAATTATATTCAGTAGCGATTTTAATTGAATATTTTGATTATTTATTTATTTTTTCAAATTAAAACTGAACTTTATTGACTTCGTCCTTTTCCAGACTTTTTATTAATTTATTGTAATTAATTATTTGCATGCAATTAAAAACTAATTTTAAACGATGCCAAAGAAGGATAACTTCTCACGCGCCTACATAAGTACACGCACCCATTTTTTTTGATAACTTGTGTTTTAAATCAACTGGAAGCCCTCTATCGGACCTGGCAACACTGGTTCAAACGGTCAACAATCAAAAGAGCTGCTTTTTTTTGTTTTAGCAGCATCAAGAATACACATTTTGTGTAAAATGATAAATCGTCTAACAAACCAACGGATAGAGGCACAACGGACATTTAGCTGTAGGGTTCCATCATCGCCCCGGCGAGGCCGGGAAGCTGCTGGGGGCGGAGCCGTGGTAGAATCCCTAACGGGGACCCTGCGGCTCCGCACTAAGCAGTGTAGAGGTATTCCCAGGACTTTTTTAGTGGATATTATGCTGTAAAGCGCCCGTAAGAGTTGTGGGATCCTAGATGGGTAGCCACTGGGGGGTCCGTAAGACTTGCGGGAGCCAGGTGTGAGGTCCGTTCGGCGGTGTGCCTCTTAAAGGCGCCGTCGTCTGTAAAAAGATTTTTTACCTGCGTTAAAAAAAAAGGGTTCCATCATCACACTTTAAGTTCGGAACCCTAAAAATAATAAAACGGTATAACCTTTTGGACCACCTGTTATAAATGCAAACAATAACGTAGACATTTAATTTGTTTATCGAAGAACGAATAAGAGAGTCAGTCTACGTTATCTCAATTGAATTAAATTTTGAACAAATAACCTTTTCGAAAACTTCGATACATTAAAAATTCTTACTAGCAGCTCTTTAATTTTTTTTCGCTTGACCATTCGACCGTTGTAGATAGGCATTTCCCATGCGGGTTGCACCTGCAAAACACGTGTTACAAACGCACTTAATTATTAAACAAGACGTTTGACCTTCTCATTATCGACTACTAAGACGTTGTAGATCCGATCTGCGATTAGAAATGTCATTACGGAACAATTAAGAGTCATAAGAAGTACCAATTCTCTATCGCTGTTTTAGTTAATTTTAATTAGAATTGTGGTAATAAACATGTAGTTATGTGGACTACGTCATATCGCAAATTTACGCAAATTAAAAATGCTATTGAAAATGGCGACGCTCTCTCCTTATTTATCTCTCACTTGTAGATTACTGTTTCTATAGTGATGATCATTACTAGGTCAGCAAATCGACTCAAAATCAACAGTATAATTTTAATTAATAAGTTTTTAAATCATCGAAATTACATTCATACATCGGATTTACCAAGCGGTGACGATATCGTCACTGAGTACCGGTCTGGATCAGTTGTCAGCAGAAGGTCTAAGCAGTAAGGTGTGTGCGACTCAGCGTCAGGTACCCGAGTAGCGCCTTGAACCAGCTGAGTGAGATTTAACGCCAAAGCGAGCTTACGCGTCTCTCTACCAGCGTGGTTGGTGTCTCGGTATGGGAACAGCCACTCCTGATGGTGTCCGTTAAAGTCCCCCAAGAGCAAATTGGGCCGATGGGTACTTCTGTTGAGCCGAATCAGCCGCCTCACTGAGGTATTCCATGAGCCTAGTTGCCTCCTGATCACCGCTGTGCGAACGGTAGACACAGCCATAGAGAATTTTCTCAATGCCTGTGTCCACCAGCGCCCAAAGCACAGAAAATCTGCGGTCCTCAAGGTTACGGAGGCGCTGACAGCAAATGTCGTCACGGACGTACAAGCCAGCCCGAGCCTTAGGCCCCTTGCGCACTAGCGGTCAACCGCGGGGGCGGCTAACCGCGCGGTCTGCCGCTTTCCCAGTTTAATATGCAACCGCCTGTGATTGTACGCACTTGACCGCCGCAAAGTTTCAACCGCGGCGGTTGAATGGAGAGCTGCGGCCCGCTCCGCGGCTGGCCGCCATCTTGCTTGTACGCACTTGCTATTTCAGTTTGCGGCGAGCCGCCGATGAGTTAGTACGTGAGTCGCAGTCATGAACTTCGACACAGAGAAATTCATTGTTGAAATTCAACAACGAGAATCAATTTGGAATTGTCAAGGAGCAATATATAGGAATAGAGATTTAAAACGGAAACAATGGGAAGAATTAGTAGACATTTTTGGAAAAGATGAGATGACAACAGAGGAAAAAAGAAGTCTTGGTAAGTATTTATTATAATTATTATTATTATATTTATATAAACGAAACTACACATACATTCAACATCTTAAAACATAATAAATACGTCTATTTTCAATTAAATCATATTTCTTTGCAATTCTAATTTCCCATCAGTCATAAAATATTGGGCAAACAATTCTCTGTATCTCAACGCAGTTTTAGCGTTCCTTCTTAACCCTTCCTGTGTTAAGTTTTCTGTCAAAGGGCAACTGAGTGAGTCGTCGTAACAATAACCATCTCGGTCTCTTACAAAATTATGTAGTACACAAGTAGCTTTTATAATATCTTTTGCTAGATCAAAATGAACATTTAGAGGTCTATGAAATATACGCCACTTGTTTGCATAAATTCCAAAACTGCATTCTACATATCTTCTTGCTCTAGAAAGCCTGTAATTGAACGTTCTTTTAGTTTCATCCAAATCTTTTTTTGCGTATGGGCGCATCATATTCGTAGATAATGCAAATGCCTCGTCGCCTACAAAAACGTATGGCATACATGTCTCGCTGTTTTGTGAAATAGGCTGTGGCTCTGGAATATCCAATTGGTTTTTTTGCATTCTTTCGTAGAAAACAGAATTTTGAAATATTGACGAGTCACTGAATTTACCAAAAGCTCCAATATCAACCATAACAAATTTGAAATTACTGTCGCATACTGCTAATAAAACCAAAGAGAAAAAACTTTTATAATTAAAGCACATTGAGCCACTGTTATTAGGTGCTATACATCGTATGTGCTTGCCATCGACAGCACCTAAGCAGTTAGGAAAATTAGCTCTTTGAAAAAAATCATTCGCAATTTTTTTCCAAGCGTCTTTTTTTGGTTGAGGCAAACAAATATCTTTCAGACAAAACCAAATTGCAAAACAAACTTCTCGTACGATTTCTGCTACAGTGCTTACTCCAATTTTGAATGTATAATGTAGTTCCGCAAATGTACAACCTGTTGCAAAATATCTGAAACAAAAATTTTATAATTACTACATGCATTAATTCAATTTAGATATGTACCTATATTATACTTCTATTACTTTATGACTATATCATTAACTTGTTTGTTGTATTGTTCTAGGAAATGAATTACAAAAAAAATGGAAAAACATCAGGGATAATTTTGTGAAAGCTCTAAAGGACAATGTTAGCAGGAGTGGGTCAGCAGCTAAGAAAAAGACTCAATACATATTTTACAATAATTTAATGTTTTTTTTTTTTTTTTTTTTTTATATTACTAGGTAGGCAAATGACTCTACCCCACCTGATGTTAAGTGGTGATAAAGTCCAAACGCGAAGATAGCTGGTACAGCAGTTATTAACTGCTACACCAACCATCCTCACCTTGCCGGCCCGCAAAAATGCTTCTTCACGCCTCTCTTAAAGGACCCCAGATTATAGGAAGGAGGGAACACGTGCGCGGGTAAAGAATTCCACTTACGAATAGTACGACAAAGAAATGAGTCGCCAAATTTCTTTGTTCGTGTAGGAATAGTGGCCACAGTAAGTCGATGGCAACGTAGGCCAGCGCGCGTGGTCCTCTGAAGAAAAGGTGATGGAGGGATAAGCAAGAATAGCTCCTCAGAACACTCGCCGTGGTATATTCGGTAGAATGCGCTTAATGATGCCACATCACGGCGTAATTGTAGAGACTCGAGTTTCTTAGTTGCCTCTTCATCGCCAATGATGCGGGCAGCGCGCCGCTGCAACCTATCCAAGGCATCGAGTAAGTACTTTGCGGAGCCATCCCAGAGGTGCGAGCAATATTCCACGCAGGACCGCACTTGTGTTTTGTACAACAAGCACAGTTGATCGGGCGTGAAAAAACGCCGCACCTTGTTCAGGACTCCGAGTTTGCGTGAAGCTGTTTTGATCAACGTTTCGATGTAGTCCTTTGGATTCAGGTCTGAGCGAACTTCCATACCGAGCATGGTAATATTG